CACAACTTTGGGCTGTAAGCACAACCCCCATCTGTGAATGTCGGGCCCTCATACCATCCTCATGGAGTCGGTTTCTAAAGGGCTGGTTATCCTCCCGCAGCAGTGTGTCGCAGTGAGCTTGTAACAGATATCTTTTATTTATGCCTAATATTGAAGCGTGGTCTGCGCTATGTTATTCCACGCCACAACGCAAGAGGGACAATCCGGAACTAGCTGTGGAACTAGATACGGCTGAGGCGGTGAGGAAGTGGGGACAAGTTTGTTCGACATCGGAGGGACATGAGAGCGAAAATATGGTGGAAAAAGGGTTTCAGCGTTCTCACGCTCCTCGCTCTTCTAGCTGGTCCAACTTCACAAGTCGTTTTCCACAACGGCGGTCATACAAACAAAACAAGCCGTTAAGGTACGAAACAAGAAATATGCATAGTGTACAGCGGATGTAGCAGAGGCCTCCTGTCTGCGGTCACGTACAATTTTTGAGAGTTGCAGCGAAGCGTCATCGACAGGGGCAGAGGCACATTTGCATCTACTGCAACACACACGCAGACGACCTAGTTTCTGAGTATAAATCAGCCTTAAGCCTTTATGCACACACATTTACGGCCTGCTGGAGGTAATTTTTTAGGGCTCTGACAGTGCTCCTCCTGTTCCTCCTTGCACAAAGGCGGAGGTAGCTGTCCTGCTGCTGGGTTGTTGCCCACCTACGGCCTCCTCCATGTGTCCTCTTGTACTGGCCTGTCTGCTGGTAGCCCCTCCAGCCTCTGGACACTACGCTGACAGACAAAGCAAACGTTCTATGGCATTGATGTGTCATTCTGGATGAGTTGCACTATCTGAGCCAGTGGTGTGGGTTGTAGAGTCCATGTCATGCTACCACGAACTATGAAAGCACCACCGACATTCAAAAGTGACCAAAACATCAGCCAGTAAACCTAGGTAGTTGGAAGTGGCCTGTCGTCCCCACCTGCACAACCACTCCTATATTGAGTGTCCTGTTAATTGGCAGTAATTTCCACCTGTTTTCTATTCCCTTTGCACAACAGCATGGGAAATTGATTATCAGTCAGTGTTGCTTCATTAGAAGATGGTTTGATTGCTACAGAAGTGATTTGATTTGATTGTTGTTTACGTGTTTCCTTTGTTTTTTTGAGCAGTGTAGTTTTCCTTTAATATTCCATCAGCAACCAGGGAGTGATAGAAATATAATACTGGATTATAAATCAGGACACAAGGTGGTTTTTCTGTCTGCAAGCAGAATCTAAACCAGAACAAATGCGTTTCTCCTCAGATGGAGGTGGTCCGTAAAGTGGCCACCTCCTTCTTCTGCCTCCTGGTATTCCTGTCAGTGTGTAAAGTATTCCCTGTGGAGCGGAACAACGATGACGATTTCATCGCCAGCACCCCGTTCTATGCTCAGGTGGTCTACCTGTATCTCTCCATGCTGACCACCCGACCCAAGTATTACTTTGTTTGGACGCTTGGTGGGTGACTGGAACCTTGATTTGAGTTCAGATTTACTAAACCTCTTTATGTTATTGGACTGTTTGCTCATTTCATCCTGAGGTTGTCTCCCCTTACAGCTGATGCCATCAACAATGCCGCTGGCTTTGGTTTCAATGGCTACGACGATAATGGCGCCCCTCGCTGGGACCTGATCTCCAACCTTCGGATATTAAACATTGAGGTCAGGATCATTAGGAGGTAATAGATCGTACAGATTAGCAGCTAGACTAATTAAACTCAATTTTGTTTTAGTTTGCCACCAGTTTCAAAGTTTTCCTGGACAACTGGAACATTCAGACGGTCCTCTGGCTTAAAAGGTCTGTCTGCAGAGCGGGGGGTTATTAAGGATGTTTTGGAAATGAAACATGTTTCTTTAACCGTGCACTGCTCTTTATCTGTTGGAAAATAGGGTGTGTTATGAGCGATGTCCTTACCATCCAACAGCAGCCACATTCATCCTGTCCGCCATGTGGCATGGAGCCTATCCAGGATACTACCTGACCTTCCTGACCGGCATCGTTGTAACTCTGGCAGCGAGAGCGGTGAGTTAGGGATGGATGGATGATGGATGGATGGATGGATGGATGGATGGATGGATGGATGGATGGATGGATGATGGATGGATGGATGGATGGATGAATGATGGATGGATGGATGAAGGCTGGATGGATGGATGATGGATGGATGAATGATGGTTGGATGGATGTTGGATGGATGAATGATGGTTGGATGGATGATGGATGGATGGATGATGGATGGATGATGGATGATGGATGGATGGATGGATGATGGATGTATGATGGATGGATGGAGGGATGGATGGATGGATGATGGATGGATGAATGAATGGATGGATGGATGATGGATGGATGAAAGGATGGATGGATGGATGATGGATGGATGGATGATGGATGGATGGATGGATGGATGATGGATGGATGAATGATGGTTGGATGGATGGATGGATGATGGATGGATGGATGATGGATGGATGAATGATGGATGAATGATGGATGGATGGATGAAGGCTGGATGAATGGATGGATGGATGGATGGATGATGGATGGATGGATGAATGATGGATGGATGGATGAAGGCTGGATGGATGGATGATGGATGGATGAATGATGGTTGGATGGATGGATGGATGGATGATGGACGGATGGAAGGATGGATGATGGATGGATGAATGGATGGATGGATGATGGATGGATGAATGGATGGATGGATGATGGATGGATGAATGGATGGATGGATGATGGATGGATGGAGGATGGATGAATGGATGGATGGATGATGGATGGATGGATGATGAATGGATGATGGGTGGATGGATGATAGATGGATGATGGAGGGATGGATGGATGGAGGGATGGATGGATGATGGATGGATGGATGAATGATGGTTGGATGAATGGATGGATGGATGATGGATGGATGGATGGATGATGGATGGATGAATGGATGGATGATCGATGGATGGATGATCGATGGATGGATGATAGATGGATGGATGGATGGATGATGGGTGGATGGATGGATGGATGGATGATGGATGGATGGATGAATTGATGGATGGATGGATGGATGGATGATGGATGGATGGATGGATGGATGGATGATGGATGTATGGATGGATGAATGGATGGATGACTGGATGATGGATGGATGAATGATGGTTGGATGATGGCTGGATGAATGGATGGATGGATGATGGATGGATGGATGAATGATGGATGGATGGATGAAGGCTGGATGAATGGATGATGGATGGATGAATGATGGTTGGATGATGGATGGATGGATGATGGATGAACGATGGATGGATGATGGGTGGATGAATGGATGGATGATGGATGGATGATGGATGGATGATGGATGGATGATGGGTGGATGATGGATGGATGGATGATGGATGGAATATAAGGGGGATGGATGGATGGATGATGGAAGGATG